ATTCTAGCACAAGAATTATTAATTCTCCACCCCTAAAAATTTCCTAAGTTTCCAAAATAAAAATAAAAATAAATTATTGCGATGCAATGCAAGTCGTCATTTTGCGGGCTAATAAAACATGGAGTCTTAAGACTTTTAAAAAATGTTTCTCTTGGTTCTTTAACTTTTTTATTTTCATTTTGATCCCTCATTCTGGGATCTGCACACGAACAACCGAGGCCGCTTTAATAAATTCTGGTTAGGCAAAAAGAAGCCGAATTGAAGCCGATAGCATTTTTCCCATTGATCAACCTTTTCCTTTTTTGGAGTAATGATTTATCCTCCAAAGTCCAAACAAGTTGTTTGGGAGTGGGTGAGAGGGCCAAGGTTGTTTGTCGCTGATTGGTGTGGCAGATAAACTCCTTCAACTACAATCCTTAGTTCCCTACCAATGGTTCGTTGCCTTGCCCTGGAAGAATATCAAACAAAAAATACAACGCATAAGTCCTTCTCTACAAGGCATTCATTTCCTTGGTTAGTTTCGTTAGTTAGTTCATGCTCCCCCGCATCTCTTGCCACTTGAGCGGTTCTAACCCAGTTGTTAACGGGTTCTATTCTTTACTTTATTACTCAATTTCAATTTTTAAGAATGTCAGAGGAAGTCACAAATTCTATATCTCCACGTAAGTTGGAATCATTACTACATCAAACAAATCTCCTGCCTCTGTTTTTACCATTACGTAGAGAATTCAATCAAATCATTTTCTTTATATCACTAAATTCCTTGAGAATATTGTTTATTATAAGTTCGGTCATCTAAAAATGAGCAACCCTACACATCACGTATTTATAGAGTCCCCAGTACCAACTTGATATATATCCTTCTTTCATGTCCATATCTTCCTCATTGAATTCATTATGGCCAAACTCATCCTGCTTTCTTTTCTTACCCTTTCTTGCCTTGTGTTGACAAGCAACGCCACCACTTACACCGTTGGTGATACTTCCGGCTGGGACATAAGCACCAGTCTCGATTCATGGACAACGGGCAAGATATTCAAGGTTGGAGATGTTCTTGGTAAGTTCTGTGATCTTACCACTGTATTTAAGGCCATGTTTGGATGCATGTAGTTCATTAATTTAAAATTTGAACGAACGATTCCTCCCAATTAATCTTATAACTTCATTTTTTGCAGTGTTCCAGTATTCATCATCGGACAGTGTCTGTGAGGTGACTCGAGCAAACTTTCAGACATGCAACACCACGAACGTCCTGAGCAGGTACTCCGGTGGGAACACCACGATTACCCTGACGCAACCCGGCACGAGATATTTCATTGACGGTAACCAGCTGTACTGTATGGGAGGAATGAAGCTTCAGGTTAATGTGGCAGGCGACGCGGTGCCTTCGCCAGTGGCTGCGCCTGAGCCGGCGGCCATCCTTACGCCGAATTCGAAGAACAGTAATCCCACTTCGGATGGGGGAATTACGTTCGGAGGGTGGGGGTCTCTTGTGGCAATCTTGGTGTGTCTGATGGGTACCGCGATGCATTTGCTGTAAATTTTGAGTGCCTTTGTTTATAAGTGTGATTTGGTTAAATTAATTAGTGTACAAGCAAATTTGTTGATGCCTTTGATTTTGAGGAACAACATATGATAACATATGATAGGTGGTTGAATCACCAAATTTCTGAAAATTTGGAACGTTGTATTTATCTAATTGACATATTTATCAATTACAAAGCCACATGTGCATAATAGGGTCACAGTCATTGACTCTTTTGGGGCATATTAGCTTTAGATAGCAACTTCAAGACTTAAATGTGACAAAAAGCTTTTATTAGTAAAAATTATTTTTAAAAAGATTAATTAATTTATTATTTTTTTAATTAAATTAAAAAAAAATTATATCAAACAATAAATTATACCTTTTTTTTTTACTTATTTTAAAATCTAACTCTAGACTTTTAATAAAAAAAAAAAACTCATATTTTCAGTCACGCCACCAAACTAAAAAGAAATTTAGGGAGGAGAAAAATGTCTTCACAAACATAGGCTCACAACAAATGACCCAAAAAATAATTAAACTTTGTTTTATCCCAAATTCCCAACCCAAGGTTTATGTGGGCTTTGAAGTTTATAATGACGTCCACTGGTCCAGAAACTAAAGCGGAGATAGATATGATGACGGGTGGATGCAGCGACACGTATGCAGGACCACTAAGAACTCGGCTTGCTTTCTGTTTCCAGATTCTTCCGATACCACCAACTCCCACTGACACGACATTTTATTTTATTTTATTTATTTTTACTAAAAATGTAT